AGTTTAGCAACCAATTAAAGCCTATTATATTTAAAATTTTGAGCTTCTAGCCTGAGCAATACCAGCTTACAAATAATGTCAAAGATATATATACTTACATGGTTATTTAAGTTTATATTTCTTAGTGAACGTTATAGTTCCTAGTAAAGAAAATTTTGCTAATAAATATGCTCAAGGTAAGGATTATTTTCTTTAGAAGATCGTAGCAATATATGAGCATCTTAGAAATTAATTTTATTTCGTAAGAGAACATTATTCCAAATTTTTTTACAAAAGTAGATATCATGTCACCTATCACATTAATGCCATCTCAACTTTTCATATACTTAATTTCTTATCGTCCAAATAAGATTTGCAAATAGAAAGTAAAGAAAAAGTACTTTCTTAAGAAGGTACTTTCTCTACATTTTCTGCGTTCATTTACTTTCTAGAACATGCCCTAAAACTAGTATAATTTAAAAATATCTATGAATTTTGGATTAATTTTCACTGTAGACCAAATATCCAATTAAAAGTTAATCAAGTAGAACACAAAGATAAAAAAGAAGTTAATGAACAAAATTAACCCGTGCAATGCTGCGACGTTACCTAAAAAAGAAGTGTAATTTAAACTTTATATATTAAAAATAAATATAATCTACACCACATGCCAAACTCTTAAAATACAATTTGTTTTATTAATTCGATGGAGTATTATGGGGCTAGGAATGACTTTGGAAGTGAGTGGGTTTAAAAATAAATAGGGGTAAAATTTTAGGTTTATAAGCAAAGAACCTTTTTCTTTTGGAAGTAGGTGGGTTTGAAAAATAAATGTGGGTTCTTATAGGCAAATAAAAACCCAACAAGATTCTTGATATCAGGCATTAGTCTGAGAAAAACCAAAAAAATAACAGTTTGAGCATTTGGTCCAAAAATTCACCAAATTAAACTTTCAGAACAAAAATATAACAAGACTTATGCCATGTTAAACTGTAAAAAACATAAAAATGTATATAAACTTAATTTGATTGAGTATTTCGTATTTCTCGCGCGAGTGGGTGAGCTTAGAAATAAATGTGGGTAAAACTTTGGTCTGTAGGCAAAAAAAAATAGTTTCTTTTTGAAGTGGAATGGCTCAAAAATGAGTTGGTTAAAACTTTATATTTATAGGTAAAAACTATTTAAAAGTGAGTAGGTTTAAAAATAAATGGGATTCAAACTTTGAGTTAATAGGTAAAATCAATCTATGGTTCCTTATGCCACTGTAGTGGAGAAGATTGCAAAATAATAATGGTTTAAGTATATGATTTAAAAATACATGTAATACCTAATCACTTATTACCAAAAATAATAAGTTGCAACAGAATATAACAATTTACGATTTATGCCAAGCTAATGAAATAGAAAGTGAGTTTTAAAATAATTCAATAGAGATTTTGGGTTAAAAAGTGTATGCAGTTTGGGTGTGAAAAACTTTTGTAAACTCTTTTCTGCTGAAGAGGATTTTTAATTATGTCTTCCAAATTGTAAACTTTTAAGTTTTCATTAATAAAAAAATTTCTCTTTTTTAATTTTACTTCTTCTTCTTTGTCCATGAAGATGAAGATTTGCTTTCAAGGGGCCAACCCCTGTAATTTTAAGTTTTTATTTTTTTCTCTTTTATTTTCTTATTTTAGAAATTCTAGCTTCATGATTTTATTATTTTATTTTATATTAATAGATTAGATTTATTTTTATACCTTGTAGTGTATTAAAACCCCGTGAATTTTTAAAGAATAGTGTGATTTATATATTGATAAATAAGCTTTAATCATGATAAATATCAATTATAGATGTATGATTATGCTAACAATTAATTTGAAATCAATTAAGAGTATATATGAGAGTATACAAAGCTTAAACATACACGAAACGAGTAAAACATGCACAAAGAAGAAATCTAGAAAAATGACCAGTTAAGAGTATATATGCATTAAACACAGATACAATTTGAATCTAGAAAAACTCAAAATACAAAAGTTATAGGTCTCTTCAATATCTTTCCAGCGTATCTTATATCACATCATTCTGAGTTTAGAAGAGAAAATTACAGTCAAAATACCAAAGACTATTTTCCCAGACTGACTGGGTTTCCTGTTTCGGGTTTGGAGCTATATATAATATATATATATATATATATATATATATATATAAATATATAATATATATATTAATATATATACTATATATATAATATATATAGAGAAGAAGAGAGAGAGAGAGAGAGATTAATGGAGGTCAATTGACATAGGAGGGGGAGTTTCCCCTATGGCGGCTGATGTGATGCAGTCTCATGCCACTGATTCCGTTTTTTAATGGGTTTCAATCAATGTCTGATGTTATTTTTTGCCAAAAAACGGCCCTTGCTTATGAGATCTGCGAGGACCCAGCTCTTGAATCGAGCACTGTCGAAAAACCCAAGACCCCCGCCTCAGTGAGCGCTCTCTCTCTCTCTCTCTCTCTCCCTCTCCCCAAATTTCCAGACCATTATCATTCGTCGCTCTCCTCGCTCTCGACGACATCCTCTGGCTCTCTCTCCCCCAAATTTACCGACCGGCAATCAACCAGCCTAGCAAACCCACCTGCGATTTACCTCCCTCGCTCTCGACAGGCGCGCTGTATTCACCTCCTTCTCCGATCGAGAGACCGACAGCCGACGCCCCCCTTTCCGCCTCTCCGCTGTCTACGGCCGTCTCCCGAGCGACAAAACCGTGGAGCCCCTGCCTGACCTCCCGCCTCCGCTGTGAGGACGCGGACGCCCCTTCGCGCGCCTCCCGCTGTTCAAGATCAAGACCCGACGCCGACGCCGCACCTTCGCCTCCCGCTGTCAAGACCAACACCCTCCCTCCTCCCTATGTCGACGCCGACGCAGATCTCCCCCGTCGAAGGCCCATCACTTCTTCCTCTCTCGCATCCGACGTCGACGCAGGTATTTTTGGTACAGTCTCAATTTGGGTATTTTTGGAGTGATTTCTGGTCTCAACGCGACAAAACCTGTTCAGATTTCAATTTCTGGTCTCAATTTGGGTATTTTTGAAGTAAATGTATTTTTTGGAGTGATTTCTGGTCTCAATTTGGGTATTTTTGAAGTAAATGTGACTATAAATTTATTTATGTAATGTTTATTTTGATTTTAGATAGAGGCGTTGAGGAAGTCATTACTTGTTTTCAATTATAAGTACCCATTTGCGTTATGAGTAGTCCAGTTATAACTTTAAGCAAAACATCTGACTTGAAAGATGAGAGTAACTGAGGCTCATATCTGAGTGAAACTTCAACTAATCTGGGAACTGATGTTGCTTAATGTAAGCTGCTCCTCTCATTTACTTCCATAAACATGACTACAAGAATTCTGTAGATCCAGGTATAATTTTTCTTTGTTGTTCGTAATTACCCAAAATTATCATGTCATTGATAAGAAATTTCAAGCGGTGGATCTAATTAGTTGTGCCTATGCCATAGGCTGTAAATAAATAAATACTCTAATACTTTCGAATCCTGGAAACAATTTTACTACAGTGTGGTTATAAACTTGCATCATTAGTATATAATTTCTCGACGTTTGTAACACATTGATAATTGTTTCAGGGCGATGAGAGGACAATGAATGTTGAAACAGATGATGTGCTATTGATAATTGTTTCAGGGCGATGAGAGGACAATGAATGTTGAAACAGATGATGTGCTACCCATTGGACTAAGTGAAAATGATACCAATGAATGTTGAAACAGATGATGTGCTACCCATTGGACTAAGTGAAAATGATACCCAAAATCTCATGGATCTTGGTGGTGAATTGCCTATAGCTCTTGTAGGCCCGAATGAGAAGACTTTCATAGGAGAGGCGCCATACGAAGGAAAAGAATTTGCTACATTGGAGGAGGCATACAACTATTACAATTCTTATGCCAAAAAAATGGGTTTTGGAATCCGTAAGGAAACTGCTGATAAGTCAAGAAAGACAAGAGAAATTATTTCTCAAGTTTTTGTTTGTAACAAGGCAGGGAGAAAAAGGTTATCAGATAAGAGAGATTGTGGGAAACTTGTCAATCGCCGTCCAGATACTAGAGTGGATTGTCCCGCAAGAATGAAGATTAAGTTGACTTCCTCTAAGACATGGATTGTAACGAAGTTTGAGGCAGAGCACCCAACCCATCTATTATCGAGCCCTGATAAAGTGTTTAATCATTATTCCCACAGGCAAAGCCATCGCTCGAAGACTTGCAAGTTAGAAGACAGTTGATGCTCTTCATATTTGGATCTCCTCAACTATTTTGTGTTCTTTATTTGGTTCCCAGTTAGAAGACAGTTTGTTGATTGTGCATGTTTAATGGATGTATGCAGGGTTGATATTCATGTTCTGTATTTGTACATGTTCTGTATTTGTCACAGTGCCGCTTTCAGACAGGACTTGATTCTATCAGGTTGTTAAAGAAAGGTAAGGAACTTGTTGATGTGCCAGGCAAGAAAAATGTTCCGTAAGGTTGATAGAAATTGATAGAGAACTATCAAGCATGTGATATCTTCATTGAAGTTTACATGAAGTAAGCTTGCTAGCAATTTCTCAAAAAAGAAAACTATGCTAATTGAATTTCTCAGTTCCGATTCAAGCATGTGATACTGATACTAGTTGATCCAAAGGTTTTATGCCCTTGTTTTTGTGAAAGCTTCGACACTTTTGTGAAAGCTGGTGACAGTGATTCAAGCATGTGATACTGAAAGCTGGTTACGATCATTTACTCACTCAAATAAATGATAACAACGCCACATTGTTATTATTCTCCCACAGCAGCAAATAAAAGATAACCACCCAAACCAAACAAACGGCTCACAAAGCAAAACCCAACACATCGTTATTATTCTCCCACAGCAGCAAATAAAAGATAACCACCCAAACCAAACAAACGGCTCACAAAGCAAAACCCAACAAAACAAACAAGATCAATCCCTCTTCCTCTCCCTGTAGGCCTTAGCCTGGAAATTGAGAAACAAAACAAGCAAGCTCATGATTGATTACAAAATGAACCAGTTATGTACTAATCAGAGCACAAAATGACCACAAATAAACTAACATTTGAGGACAAACTGACTTCAAGCATTGTGAAAATTGAGTTCAAACTAAGTACAAAATGACCCAAGTTATACAAGCTTATCCTCACATAGAAGAATCATCCACAAATCACATCACATACAAGAAGACAGTTTGTTGAAATTGAACTGGTGTCAGGACATGCCTTGAGCTGGATGCTGGATCACGAGCGATAGTGTGCTTCTCCCATTCAAGCAAAACCTCTTCGTATATTTCAAACCCTTTGTAGGAAATCCCCTTTCTCATGAACCTATCAGCATATAGACCTCATGAATTTCCTCATTTTATAATAAATTTATAACAAACAATTACTTTGAGCAGGAACTGGAGAAACAGAGCATTAACCACGCTCAGGCTTGCACATGCACCTTATCTCCTTTTAACAAGCGAAACTACTAAAAGAAATAATTTGAATCATAACCATGTGAAACGGATGAAGATAGCAACCTTTGTTTTCCACAGAAAAGCCAGCTATTTTCTCCTGCTTTATCTTATTTCTTTGCTTACAACGGGAACTCTGCAGTATCAGAACAAAAATGTAGAGAACCGTAAGTGTACACTGATTTGATGCACAACAGCTGTATCGGTGACGTGTGAACAAAAACATAATAAACATGTGTCATGTTACACATAATAAGTAAAAGAAACTAAAAATCAAGCTCAGGTCACACAACAATGTTCTTAACAATACTTCTAGGAACAACAACGGAATTGATACACTACAGTGATGTTGGTGATCGATTTGAATGAAACACAACAAATTATGACTTCTGCTGTTTTCTCAAAAAAATTATGACTTCTGTTAAGAAGAAAATGGATATGATAAAACCAAAATGCTACTTAAAACATTAGCTAATATTGCTGAAATATACTTGCAGCTTATATAAATACACAAGTACATTCGAGAAATATTAAAAAAGAGGGACAATAAGGAGTAGCATAACATTCACATGGTTCAATCTTCGGCTCCATCCATACCAAAATTTCAGAGAGCCAAAATCTATACAGAATGTAACCTGTCAACGAAAGTGATTGAGCATATACACAATTCAATCCAGGGGATGGAAATTAGCAGCTACCAACATAAGAACATCCTAATATCTCAATTTGTGTGTAAACCAAACATCAAATTTCAATAGTATTTCTGTACTCATGAAACAATTTCTAAGTCTCAGTCTGAACACATTCTAAATCGCAGACACAATGCAAAAGGTACTGAGAAAAAAAGATTGAAAAAAAGATAATCAGACTTTACCTCAATTAGAAACCATATCAGCCATTGACAAGCATGATCTTTAATCACCTTCAAACTCCTGAAAGATTAAAAAAAAGATAATCAGACTTTACCTTATCTTGGCGTCGATGCCGGCGTCGACAGCGGGAGGCGGGAGGAGGCGGGAGGGAGAGGCGTAGACAGCGGGAGGCGGGAGGAGGAGGGAGGAATCACGGCGGGAGGAGTAGACAGCGGGAGAGGCGTAGACAGCGGGAGGCGGAAGGGGGGCGTCGGCGTCGGTCTTGGACAGCGGGAGGCGGAAGGGGGTCGGTCTCCGACAAAGCGGGGAGCGCGCGGAGGAGGAGGGCGTGCGTCGGAGAGGGTAGACAGCGGTCCGGATGCAGAAGGGGGGCGACGGGCTTCTGTCCGGGATCATCACCCCCTCGTATCAGACCGCGGTCTCGACGGGAGAAGGGAGGCTGATCACCCGGCGTAGTCGCCGTCTGAGAGCGCGGGAGTAAATCAGTGAGGGTGGGTTTTCGCGGTGGTGATCGCGCCCGGTGCGGGAATTTGGGGGGAAGAGAGAGCCAGTAGCGATGTCGTCAGAGAGCGGGGGGTAGGACGAAAATTGATAATGGCGGTAGTGAATTTGGGGGGGGAGGAGCGGAGATGAGAGAGAGCGCTCACGAGCTGGGGGCGTTGGCTTTTTTTCGACAGCTCATCAAGAGCCTTGCGGTCCCACGCAGATCCAAAGCCAAGGGGGTTTTGCAAAATAACATCAGGAATTGAGTAAACCACCTAAAAACGGTAATTTAGTTGGGCTGAGATCTGGCCACTATCCCAGCGCATTTAGGGGCGAAACCGTCCTCTCCTATGTCAATGACCCTCCCATTTTAATCTCATATATATATATATATATATTATTATATATATATATATATATAATAAATATATAATATATTTATATATTATATATAATATTATATATATTATATATATATATTATATATATTATATATATAGGATATATATATATATATATATATATATATATATATATATATATATATGTATTATACATGAAAAATACATCTTCTCATCTGTGATCCAAACCCTAGCAGCCCCTCTCCTCTTCTCTCAAACCCTAGCTCTAAATTTATGATTTCGGGGAAGTCTTGTGAGGCGAGAAGCGAGGAGAAGGCGAGATTTACAGCTTTTTGCGACGGGGGATCGCTTCCTGATTGTTTCAGAGGGTTGTACATGTGATAAGGCAAGTCACCTCTATCGAAACATTTTTCTTAGTTTAAAAATAAAGTTTTTACGTGATATTTGCAATTAATCTCACGCTTAGGATTAATCTAATGTGTTAGAACCTAATTTGTGATGTGATATCTTAAACTCATGAATAAAACAATAGAGTAAGTCAGAAATTTTCATTTTTATATGATCATGATCATTAGAGTTAATCTTAATATGTTAATTATAATTTAATTTTAGTTTATATGCACTAATTTATCGAAATAAACATAAATTTAGTTAATTTACATGTTAAACCTTAGATCCATGAGTTCATATTGGTTTCATCTTATTTAAACAAACCCCTAGTTAAGTAATCATGATTATTGAATCAAGTTTTATTCATATAAGTTAATAAAAACTCGAGCTTTGAAGAAAAATCAAGTAAAAACCCGAATCTGTAAATTTTGGTCTATTCAGTCGACTGATGTTGCCATCAGTCGACTGACGGGAGGTCATCAGTCGACTGACGGGAGGTCATCAGTCGACTGATGGACAACATCAGTCGACTGATGGACAACATCTGTGTGTGATTTGTGTGACCTCAGCTTATCAGTCGACTGAAGCTTTTGTCGGCCAATTGATGAACCTCAATATTATGATGTTTGACCCTTTTACATGTGGATTCAATGTATGAGCGCACAGTGTAAGTCGTGCGATGTTCTATACACATATTTTGAGGAATACACATACGAAGATTGAGTACGTACAAATCTATTGTTTGAGATAGCTAAATAGTTTGCACTCGTTACGAGTAACGATTAGTGTAGTTAGCTTTTATTGAAGATGCTGAGTGGGGTTAGTTTGGGCCTGCAATGAGACCGCAGATGGACTACACTCTGACTACGTTAGTCAGGACTACAATGAGACTGTGATGGACTTCACTCCTTTATGTATTTTTGGTCCACACGAGCGTGCATAGAGGTCGTTGAACCTATGATTTTGGTCCGCATGGTTTTTCGTAGAGGTTGATATACCAATTTATCGATCTGCACGGGGGTGCGATGAGTTGATATACTATTTATCTGTCCGCACGGGGGTGCAATGAGTTAAAGAATTCCAGAGAAGGACAATTTGATAAAATTGATGATAACCTAAGTGTAGGCGAATATTAACACTCGTTCGATATGATCTATTGTGAAGGTATTTCACAACTTTGGTACACGAAATAGTGTATTGGTATATGTTTTGTCCACTAAGGGTCGTATGAGAAGTTTGATGACATTTTGTTTGGAGATGATTGATGTATTTCTTTTTTTATTGTTCTCCTTTATTGTTTTATTCTTAGTTGGAATTTATATCTAGAAATTTACGACTTGAGACACATGGTATATATATGAGGGTTTCCTTGTTTGGATTATTTTGCTCGACGTACCAGTCTTGTAAACATAAATTCTATATAGTACAGGATAAAATGATCTAGGTAGACTATGCACTTATAGGTAAGCCTCCATCATACTTAGTAGCTCTTCCCCTGGGGGTGGATAAAGATGATCTTGCTAGCACTCTAGCGCTGTTGATTTCACTTCTTTTCAGGTAGCAGAACAGAGTTTCAAAGAGCCGTAGGTTGACGAACTTTCAGCATAGTCACCGTCAATTATTTTTAGTAGTTTATGCTCCACAGATGTTTACTTTTGTTTCTAGTTGATTATTAGACCTGCATTTCATTTTGAGGGCTGAGAGAACTTATGTACTTTTTAGTTGACTCTGTGTATCGAGATATTTTATATTTATTCTAGTAGCAGTTGTATTTTATTTTGTTTTATTTGGGATATGATTATATTATTGGATATCTCTTCATTTAATCTTGTTCATTTCATTATTACCTTTATCTTGCATGTTTTGTATCTACACTTATTGTTATTTCCACTAGAAAAATATTATTGTGATGGTGTAAACGTGTTTTTACACAATGTGGGTGCACGGCAGGTTTGACATCCTTGGGTTCACCTTGGACTGTAGCCTTGTGTGAAATCAGGGACGCTACAGTTGGTATCAGAGCTCTAGTTCCAGCATTCTTAGGATCATCCTGTGTCGAGTCGTGGAGCTAGCATAGAGTTTCCTAGGAATCATGTATAGAGTCTTCTAGGAATTCCTAGAATGAGTGAGAATGTTATATACGTATATCTCAAAAAATTCAAAAAATTTATGACTATCTTACTTTGATTGAAAAAAAGTATTTGCATGAATGGTATATGATACGACTTTCCTATTGCTATATGTTATGTTATATATGCTTGAGATCTCATTTACTATGTCTTATAAGCTCTAATCCTGAAATTATAGACGTTAAGAAGAGCAGGGCAAGCTGATTCAGAGCCTAAGCCATAGCAGGCTCCACAGTACTTGATTAATATCATAGCGCAAATTACAGTTATAATAGCAGCCCTAGAGGAGCAAATGGCCAACAAGATTCTACCAGTAATATCATCATCTGAAGTTCCACCACCAGTCGTATCAACCGAGCCTATTACAAAGGCGTCATCAGGAGCTATGCCAACCCCAGCTACCATTGGAGTCATAAGACAAGAAGTAAGCCCTGGACAGTCTGGAGATAAGGGTAAGAACAAGAGAACATGAAATTACCCTAGAGGAGGGTGAATAGGGTATATGCTAATCTAATCTGATATTAATGCCAAATTAAAATATGTTAACAATTATCCTAGCAATTATGATATACAACAAATTATATACAAGGATATGTAATTAAAACAAGGGTGATATAAATATGAGATAATGGTGATATAGAAAGCAATAAGCAATGAGCATAAATACTACGCTAAGGCAAACTCAAACACACAATATGATCATGGAGTTCAGTCACCCTCGATCTACGTCTTCTGTGACGCCCCAAGGTTCACACAAGGCTGCAGTCCAAGGTGAAACCCGGATTGTCAAACCTGTCAAGCACCAAACACCATGCTGCGATATGTTTCACCATCACAGTCACTATCTCTCTAGTAGAAACAACAAATAGGTGAAGGTACAAATAGGCAAATAATAAAAATAGTACAAAATCAGATATGCACAGAAGAGGTATATCAACAAATGATCCCAACTGAAATAGAATGAAGATATCTTTGAGTCAGAAATACATTTCAACACAACGAGTCAGATGAAATCTCACTAAGGAACTCAACCTCTACAAAAATGAATACAACTCTAAAATCTGAACAATGAACATAAGTATATAGTGGAGCTTCAACTGCTAAAACCGTGCGATGGCGACTAAGCTAGAACTCTGTCATCCTGCGGCTCTCCAAAACTCTGATCTGCCTGAAAGATACAATTTAAACAAAAGAACAACAACAAGAGCGTCAGAGCGCTACAGCAAGATCACCTCCATCCGCCCCCAGGGGAAGGGCTACTAGATGGAGTGGAGGCTCTATCTATTAAGCATAATCTACCTATATCATTTTCCCCATATCTAATAGAGTTAATATTTAGACACCTATAAGACGAGACGTAGTACGTCGAATGAAATAATCCAAACAAGGAAACCCCCATATATATACTATATGTCTCAAATTGTAGATCCATAAATACAAATTCCAACTCTATGAATAAAAACAGCACTCAAAAGAAATACTCTAAGCCTCAACTATATAGAACCAATGTTACAATCTCGAACTACTTCTCAAGTAGTTGGTGCAATTATAAGAGAATATCGTTCAACTCAAAAATCATCATAGGCCATATCATGTATGCCACAAACCAAAGAATGTACCCTACTCATGGGTAATCTAACATGGGAGTAACTATAATTGATAATACATATATGTGTGCATCTCTTTATGCAATAGCGATACTCTTGTAATATTCTTACTCAATCGTTCTGCGGCAATAGGTTTTATCTCCCTATCCCGGATACATGGAATGACGATACTTTTGTAACTTCATACTCAATCGCCCTGCGAAAATAGGTTTTATTATGTCCCTATTCCGGATACATATAATAACAATACTATTGTAATACTCTTACTCAATCGTTCTGCGGTAAATAGGTTTCATCTCCCTATTTCCGGATA